ATTCAGTTTCTGATGTTGAATGCGAATGAATTAGTCTCAACGACGTAGAAGAGACGCAAACAGGCGAAATCTGGACTTTTCTCGAAATTGGTCAAATTTTCATTTTTAGAGGAGTAAGATGTAATTTCAAGATTACTCACCCAAACCATGATTTAAAAAAATTAGAAACCGCATATTCAGAATCAGCTCGTTGAGCTCTATCGGATCATGTACATTTTAGTCGAAAATGTTCTCTGTTCCCCTTTTGCATTTGCGGTACCTTAATAAGCTAAATTGTCAATTATTTTTGTGACTTGATAAGTGATAAGAGAGACTGCTATAAGTCTGCAAATATTTTTTTTATTTATGTTTCAATAGATTTAATGTTTTCGGATTTGGTATGCAATAGTGGAACAATTCTAATTAGTGGGGAGTTTGGTATAGGAATGTCGAAATGGATGATCAAAGAACGAGGTGTCAAAAGAATTGTGATAATGTTAGAAAAAAGTGCATATGAAATAGAACGGTATCGTCCCGATTCGTCGACAAATCGGACACTTCAAAGAATATACATCAAAGAATTTCAAAGGCGGGAGGGGCGGTGTGAGAGTGAGTGTCGACGAATCGGGACTGAATCAATAGAACAAAACAATTCTGAATTATTCAGTGACTGGCTCGATTTAAAACAAATTGCGGAGCAATATCATGCGTTTATTGAAATAATAAGAACAGATATAACGGAATTTGATCAAGTGTTACAACATATATCTCGAATTAACCAAGATCATAAGCATCCTGTTCGGGGTATTATTCACATTGCAATGGTTCTTCATGATAGTTTGGTAATAAATATGACAGAAGAAATGTTGTCGAAAGCTATGAAACCAAAGATTTGTGGAGCTTTGAATCTTCATTATGCATCAGTAAAAACATTAAGCCCACTTAATTTTTTTATAACGCTTTCATCTGTTAGTAATCATGCGGGTATTATAAAACAGTCGAATTACAATGCTGGTAACAATTTTCTTGACGCTATTTCACATTGGAGGTTTTATTGCAAAAAACTTCCCTCTCTGTCTGTTAGTTTACCGATAATTTCTGAAGATAGATATGTTCATAAGAAGCAAAACGACTATTCGGTACAAGGAAAAGGACCAGAGTTTATACCAGCCATTTATGCATTCAAAATGATTGAACAATTATATATTGAACAACAAACAATAACTGTCGATTGCTGTTCTACTCCTATTATATTGGCTATGGATTGGAGAACGTTTCTCAGAACAAAGCAAAGGTCATTAACGAGATTAATTAATATTGCTGAACAGTATATGAAAGATGAAAAAGTAGAAGAAGAAGACGAAATGTTGATTGATCATAAAGTAAACGAATTAAAATCAATCGATCTTAAAATGATAACAAATAAAATACATATAGCAGTCTCAAAATTATTTGGCGCTTCAAGTGTAGATCGTATAGATTTAAATACACCACTTTCGGAACAAGGCATGGATTCATTGACTGCAGTTGAGGTTCATAATTGGTCGGAAAAAGAAATGACTATAAATATTCCAATTGTTGAATTATTACAAGGAATGTCTGTCAATGATCTTGGGTCATATGTTCACTCTAAATTGATCAATAGACATTCTGCTGCTAGCCTATCAAATAACAATAATGAGACTAAAAATTCATTATTATCCAAGGAACAAGACGATATATTGGATGGATATACTGCCACATCTCTTCTCGTTCCCCTTTACTCTTCTCACAGTTCCAAGCATCTATTATTTTGCATACATGGCGTTGTTGGGTTCTATCAAACATTTATACAGTTTGCACATGAACTAACTAAAATTTATGAACATGATTGTCCTTCGATTTATGCATTTCAAGCAAGTGGCTATAAACCAGATGAACCATTTATTGACACAATTCAAATGATTGCTGAAGAATACATTTTACAAATGAAACGGTTACAACCAATAGGACCATATCATATCGCTGCATATTCATTTGGTGGACTTATTGCTTACGAAATTGTTCGTCAATTACATAAAAATCATGAGGAAACAGTTAAATCTTTAATATTGTTTGATCCACTATCACCCAATGATAAATATGTTTCATTAGTACAAGAAACTACGATGTTCGAAGCATTTTATATTATATATCATTATTTATTAGATGAAGATGTACCATATGATTCAGTTGATGAAATATTAAAATTACCAGAACAGCAGCGAAATGAGATCGAAAATGAAATGATGAAAAAAGTACTCCCAGCATTAGGCCCGCTGATTAGTAGCAGCCATGATAAGGCTGATGCCAATACAGAAAACCAAAAGCAATTTTTGGATAGAATCCTTCAAATCATTGGAATACATGCTAAAGCCAACAGGAATTATACGATTAATTTTGAAACCAATTTAATCTGTGATAAAAAATTAGTTAATAATGTTATTATGTTTAGTGTTTTAGAAAATAGTAACAGTGAATATACATCAAAAAGACAATTTAAAAATCAACATCAGATATGGAAAAGTTTGCTTCCTCATTTGCACGTTGAAATTGTGCAAGCTAATCATGGAACATTACTACAAGAAGCATCAAATGTAAATTACATTGTTAGGAAATTAAAATCTATTGACATACTGTAAATAACTAACGAAATGTAAGTACAGATGGAGAGACTTGATTTAATGCTATAGTACTGAAATAAACTGAACTACAGAACCTGAAATCAGCTAAACTAGAAATATCTATGACTGACTGCGGCAAGGCGCATTTTGTATACATTGGTAAAACTATGGACCCTTATTATACATCATTAACTATTTTACTATTCCAGATATAAGTATGATTTTTTTCATATAGATTTTTCACAAATATTTAAGTTATAATCAGGCTATTAACATTTCACTGTAAAACATACCATTGAACACATGTTTGGATAAAAACTAGATAATCAAGTTGACTATTAGTTATATTTACCAATTCATTTGAGTGCATGACAATTGCGTTTACGTTAGATGAATACCATATTAAATGTTTAGCATAGTCTTTTTTTATAAAAAACATATTTTGTCATTTAGATTTAATACATTCAAAAGCAAAAGAAGAATTTTAGTGTATTTGGTAATTCAAACAGAGCATACTTTAATACTGATCCATACACACAGTGTTCATCATGCAACAGTGACTGTTTGTATTTTATTTAACAGTAACAAGAAATCTTTATATTTAACAGACTAGTCATTTTTAATTATCTGACTCTTTTAGCACATTTTTTGTTAATAACATCATCATTATTGTTCTCATCCTTTTCTTCTTCACTGTGACTTTTCATTATGCAGATCTCTTATTAAGGGCTCCCCTCCCCCCCTCAGAAATTATCTCCGGCACCGTATATCCGATCTTGACGAAACTTTCCGTAAATATTCGGCACAATGAGTTACGTGAATGAAAAGATTTTTTTGTCTCCAAGTCTTACGATTTAGGAGTTTTCCAGAGATCAAGTCCAAAAAGGAACCTGAACGGCGTCCCAAGAGTTTTTAATATACTTCAAGCTGAAGAGTTCGGGTTTGTTTTATTTTAAACTAGACACCTAACTACATCGACTGACCGGCGCCGATTTTTTAATTAAGCCTTTATTGGTTTTCCAGACAACCAACAACCTGCGAAAACCCGAAAAAGCCTTCCGGATTTTCTAAAAATCCTCAGTTTGACAAAAAACTAAGATCTAATTCAAAAATCGACGCCGGTCAGTCGATATAGTTTCTTTTCCTCTTTTAAACAAAAAAAGAATGAACCCTCTACGACAAACCGCTATTAAAAATCTTGGGACGCACTTCAGGTGTAACTCTTATATAGGCACATCGTTCGATTCAAATACTGTGGTTTAATGTGTAATTCGTATGGTGCATTTACAAATCACTTGAGGAGTGGTTGCAGTATACATTAGCTTTTCTCATTTACGTCCACACAGTGGGCATTCAGGCGGGAAATTTGAGCAAAAATCGACAAGTGAGCTTTTTTGAATTCGAACAGTAGTAAATGTAGTCCTTGAAAAGCGCTATCGAATGGTATATAATGATCGACTAGTAATGAACTCCTTCGATGAGTAAGT